GGGCAACAAAGGGAACTATATCTCTTATGTTTTCATTGTGGAGGCCCAACGACTCTTTAATTCCTTTCTGAATGATTCATTATTTTTTTACTGTAAAATTATAAGAATCAAGAAATTACTCCCAGAGTGTCATTTTCTTTGTTTCAAATATACAGCTATTTGTAATTATATGTGTTTTACGACCCTATATATATATACTTTCATAAGGTCTAAATTCTCCACACCTTCCCCCCTCTCCCATCTCGAGTCACATCGCTCCTCATAGCTGCCATCCACATCCTAACAGTGAAACCAGAAACTAACAATCACATCCACTGCAACCACCTCATTGTTGGGGGGGGGGGCTTAGGAGGTGGAGACCATACCTCATTCCTCACCTCAACTAATTTTGCTTGTCTTTTCTTCTCCCCCTTTCCTTTTCTTTTTCTTTATACCTTTCTTCTGTCTACTTCCTAAGCTGTGAGAGCTTTGGCTGAAAGGATGAAAGGTTATCAACTAGCTTTCTAAATTTGATTTTATCGGTTTCTCGAACCCTGCACTCTCCTTTGCCATTGCCCTGCCTCTCCTTTGAACCACTGACATCTAATACCCCTTCCTCAGTGCTTAACTGTCGAATCTGGTCCATTCTGAATCATACCAATTCAGGTTCATTACTCACCTTTAGAATACACACACCATCCTGCTCTCCCAACATCCTATATCTGCTAGTGTTCTATAGCGTTTACCCCCACCCCTTTATTACTACTTTTCTTCCTTCTTGTCTCCTCCCAATAGTACTAAACCTCTCGTCCATGCACCTCATCTTCCCTCAAGCCCATGTCCTGCTGCTGTCCATTTCTGCACATCTTTTGAGTACCCTTTTTTTGTTCACCAGCCAGTGGGATCAATTCTTTGGGATTCCCTCTACAGTCCACATGCAGTGCACTATTTATCCTGACTGACCTCACTGGCAAACCTATTCCTGTCCAACCTTAAGTTAATTAATGCTTAATTAACTTTTCCATCTCCCCGACTGATTGTCCTGTCTCCGGTTAGACTGTGAAAACACTTGCTCGCATACCTCGTTGACTATTAGGTAATAGCAGTCCAGGTTTACACTATTTCCTCTCAGTGGCCACGCAAGTCCTATGCTAAATATTGCCAAGATTAGCTTCATATACATGAACCGCCCTCATGAGATTTGTCTTGTGGAGTTGTCCTTCCCTTTCCGACCATATCGACCCTTTCCCCGTCAATATCAGAAAATTTTGGCGTTTTTGACCGCCCCGGCCAGACACTGTCGCCCCAGCTCTCTTTGTGCCTAACCTGGGTCATGGCTGTTCAAACTGCTCTGCTCAGTCCATTGTGGCGGCTCCCATAAAGTATTTCATAGGAGTCTTGCCCCTAGAAGCTCGATCTGAGGTAGCAGTTCTCAGATTCAAAACAATGCCTCACTCTGCGTGAAGCCAGACTAAGAAACGCCGACGAAGGTTTTTCTCTTTCTAACTATTTCCAAACCTGTACTTCGCTCCGCTCCCCTCCATCTTCTCAAGCAGTCTCAGCATCTCTCTCATTACTCTCCCACTACCCCGAACTATCCTATCTCGTACTCCCTCTCTCCCTCCCCCAGTCAAATTCTTTTCCAGTCTAAATACAGATACTCTATCTCTTTACTTCCCGGTGCCGTACCCCTCCGCCCTCTCACTCTACTGTCGCACCAACAAATCTTAACTTCCTCCTATCTTCCACCACATCTACGATCCACCGCTCCCTCCTGCTCTTTTGGATATCTATTCCCTTCTTCTTCTCACTCCGCATAAGAAAACCTCTATTTCTCAGACCTTCCCTCTTGAAACTCTTGAAGACACCCAAGGCTACCGAAAAAAAAAAAAAAACATACCTCAAGAGAATGAGCGACTCCCTCATCCTGCCTCTTATCCCTTCATTCCTATTCGCTCTACATTCAAAGTATTTGCCGATATCCATCCTCCTCCTCCTCACGTTCTCCACCTTCCTATTTTCCTCCCACTCCCCCCAAACAAACACCCGTCCTCCCTCCATGTCATCATCATCCCTCTTTCTCCCCATTATCCTTACCCCTTCTACGGGATGCTCACGTGACCTCGCTTATGCCACAACAATGTCCTTCTCCGGATCCTTCGCCTCCTGACATTCTTCCCTTTTTTCCACATTTCATTCTCTGGATTCCTCTTATTTCTTACAACTACCATTTCTACCGCAAATTACCCTCTGATCGTTTCATAATTCCCCATTCGCAGTTCCCCCCCACCCCCCCCTCCCATACCTTTTTCACTACTATTGTATCCTACAGCATTCTTACAAATCCTGTGACATCTTACGCATCTTTAGACTGATCGTTAACCCTTTCTCGCCATAATACTTTACCATATGCTATATGCCCCTTTTGGTGTCTAGCACATTTATTTCTTTTCTAACCATTAACCAGGTTATATTATGTTCGTTCGTGCGTGCGTGCGTGTGTGTGTGTGTGTGTTGTGTGTGTGTGTGTGTGTGTGTGTGTGTGTGTGTGTGTTGTGGTGTGTGCATAAAAGTGGTGGACATAATAGGTATTTGTTTATCGATCACAGCGTGAAATATCTTAGCAATATAATTTCAGTAACCGATTACCAAACTATTCCTCAGAATCATCTTGAACTATGGCCGTCTCAATCAATCTGTCAACACTTTTTTTCTTTGCTTTTTTTTATTCCTACATGATGGTATAAGTTATTTGTACGAATGACTGATTAGAAGTAACATTTGACATCTATAAGGTATCTTCTTACAGATGTCAAATAAAAGGGAATGGGGATTCCCAAGTATAGGGTAACGGTGATAATTTCACAAATAGAAAAAGAAAAATCAAGATACCGTTTAAAATAAAAGTCAATTCAATTGCTTATACTTTATTGGTCTAACACATTCGAGTCGTTGGCGCGGGCCGTGTCGGGAGGAGCCTAGCCGACGGGGAAGGAGCCTCAGAGCCGGACGGGGAAGGAGACGAATGCCGTGTTCGGTCGGTCCCTGGAAGGGTCTTTCAGCGCCTCCTGCTGCTGCTGCCATCGTGTCCAACCTCGCTACCCCCCCTCCACGTAGTGCAGCACCATCCTCCCTGTGGGTGGTAGGGGTGGGAAGGGGGGGGAGCCGGCGGTTAGTTGGGCTTGTTGGCTCAGGCGGGGCGCTCAGCCTGGCCTTCTACAAGCTTTCTAACAACGCACATGAGCTTCATTATTAGCCGTCGAACAAAGCATTAGTACTCACGCTGTATCCGTGCTCGTAGGCATACGCGTACAGTCGGGACGAGTCCCGGCAGCGCAAACGGACGCGTACTCCCCAGCACGACCGGCTTTCCTAGGCGTAGTCATCGGCGTTCACCTGGAGGCCGAGGCGGGGGAGGGGGGGGGGCGGTGAGTTTCGGTGGCTTCGCTCTCTCTCTCTCTCTCGATCTCTCTCTCTCTCCACTCTCTCCTCTCCTCCTCCTCCTCACTCTCTCTCTCTCTCTCTCTCTTTCTTCTCTCTCATCAACAGCTGCTTCTCTCACTTCCTTTTATTCCTTCTCTTTTGCCGTCCTTGTTTTTCCGTCAGGTTCTCCCCGCCTCTCCCTCCCGGTCCCACATCTTCAATCTGCATCCTTATTTATTCTATTTTACCTCAGTTTACTCTCATTGATTTTTTTTGTTCGCTCACATAGCTATACAATTCCCTCCTGACTCACTCCTTCCTCCCTGACTTAACTCCTTCGCACCCTGACTCCCTCAATTCCTCCCTGACTCATTCTTTCCCTCACAGACTCCCTATTTCTCTCCCAGACTCCAATCCTTTGCTTCCCTGCCTAGTTACTTTCCTCCCCAGCTCATTTCTCCCCTCCTTGACTCATCCTTCACTCCCTGACTCACTCCTCCCCTCCTGACCATTCCTTCCCTCCTTGACTAACTCCTCGCAACCCTGACTCACTCCTTCCCTCCCTGACTCACTTTTCCTTTCCTCCCTGATTGGACTCCTTTCCTCCTGCTCACTCCTTTCCTCCCATTTTTAGACTCCTTCCCTCCCTGACTGACCGTGAAGGGCGCGTTGGGACTCCAGGATCCCCCCCATTCGTAGGCGTGCACTGAAGAATCGAGATGGCGTCGCTTCCTCCCGCCGCCTTGTTCCAGGCATTTCGTCCCGGTGTAGTGGTTTGTGGGTGTTGGGGAAGGCGTCAATCTGCGCGAACTGGCCTGGGAAGGACCGCGAGTGGAGGCATCATAAGGCAAGCTCTTGTCACCATTTCTTAGTTATCTCTCTCGTCTCTCTTCATACTCTCCACTGTTATTTATCTTGGCGAGCACATAACACCCTCTCCCTCTCCCTCTTCCTCTCCTCTTCCTCTCTCTCATTCTTTACCCCAAGCTCCAAGCGTGTCAGGAACCTCAGGGTCGATGGCTCGAATCGCCTGGTTCTGACGCCCGATTAACCTCAAGGTCCTGTGTGTCGCGTGACTTTCATACCTTTTAAATGACTGTCTGATTAAATTGAATAATGAATTCGTGGTTGAAACACTACGATTTAGAATATCCCAAAATACTTTACTTCATTGTTGCTAAAGTTGATATGATATAAATATGAGATTCAAAGATTAGATAAATATAAACATGGACCCCCCAGACGAACTCACCGTTCCATGTGGATGTAGAGGCAGGTCCAGCAGCGCCACTCTGGCCGTGATGGTCGTGTCGTAGCAAGGCTCGGAGTCGCTTAGACGCTGAGGAGCGAAGCTTCCCGTTCAGTCGTTTTACGCGACATATATGGTCTTTTACTCCTTTCTCTAATTTTCACAATGTTTGAGGAACAAGCACGGCCAACGACAGAAACTGCCAGGCGATTTCCTCACCAAGATGGATCCCCCAGGTTCGTTGACCACCTCGAAAGGCCCCCACGCCGGTGTCCTTGACCTGCGTCACCAGACTCTGTGGCTGAGATTGCAAACGGACTGAGCAACGAGTGGATAGAATGCCTTAAATAACACAAAACTGAGGCACAAAGAGAAATGATGGAGACAGCTAGCTTGCACCAAACACCATGCATGAGCGGCAGGCAGTGTGCTGTGCATGCCATTGGCATACGTGTTACCAACGAGACTTGGGAGTTGAGGCAGTTGTCGATGTAGCGTCGAGCTTGTAGTCGTCCCAATGAGGTCCGATGGCCGCCTGTTGGTGGCATGTAGGCCCCGTTCCACACCCCAGGACCACCATGGACGTCCAGCCGCCTCGGCAGCGTCCAGAAGCTTCTCACGTCCGCCTCGAAGGTCCCGCTTTGGTCGCACCTGGGTCACGTAGCCATTGCTAGTCCACTGCGGCGTGCTGTAGCCCTCCACGTGCAAGACCCACCCCCTGGGGGGAAGCCACCGGAAGCTGGATTAGACCCTCTCTCAAGAGACTGTGTGTTGTGCACTAGTCGAGGATGACTCATACGCTTTGCCTTGGGTACGCAGCGTGAGAAAGTATGTTCTAATCTGACGATTAGATAGTCTCCCTTCGCACGAACCTAAACGGTCATCGGGAATTACATCTATTTCAAATTTCCTTCCGAATATACTCTAAGTGAAGCAATCTCGGACCAAGCGAAACGAGGACGCACATCCGGTCCCGAGCCCAAGGAGACCCGGGCGGGCCACTTACGGATGGAGTTTCCTCCCGACTCGGCGATCTCCCTCAGCCCTGCTCAGGGTGCCGTCGTAGCCGCCGTTGCCGAAGTCATGCCTAGTGTTTTCCAGGTGGATGTTTGCAGCCGCTCAGAACACCTTCTCTCCTTTGTAGGTCAGGTCTTGCCGGACACCTGCGGGCGGAAGGCGCCGAGGTCAGGCAGAACGCATGGCCAAGGCAGTTTGCAGGCGAAGGAAAGCACCAAGCAGGATATAGCTAAATGTTTGTCACAAAATAATATTTAAAAAGATATGCGAAAAATGTCCTTCGTGGTTCTGGGTCCACCTGAGCCTGGCGGCGGCCAGCGTTCCCCACTGCTATGGCGAGCGTCAAGTAGAGACTCAAAAAACAAGAGCCCATTGTTCGCTGCTGCTGTTCCCCGCCGACCTCGCGGGTCTTATAAGACCATGCTTTATCGCGAGGAAGACACGCTGAGAAAACGTGCACTTTTCCACGGTGATTTTGCTGTTGTTTTACCTGTTTACGTATTTTTTGTTCACGTGATTTATTGCACGCATGACCATGGTGGAGTTGCTTGAGCCTATGCGTGATTGCGGCAGGCGGTTTTTGACTATGATCTATTCTGTATCTGCCGCGTCACCCCCTCCATTTCGTATCCATAGTCTGTTAGCTCATTTAATATTTACAGTTTATCCGATAGATAGATATACATCATCGTGACTCTTTTCATTTACCTCTGTTCATCCTTTACATCCTCAATTTTATCTCATGCACGATAGTTTGTTATCTCTGCTTTGGTAAGGGAAGGACGGAAAGAATATTCCTTTGTAAATGGTTATGGTAATGGGTTAAAAGCAAGATATTGCTAGACATCTAAGGTCATGGTTAGCACTATAGTTTACTGTTAGTGAAGGGTGGTTGAGTTAGTGATTAGTTGTCTAAGCTTGGGCAAAGAAATTAAGTGAGTGAAAGGGTTAAGTTCGGGTGTTATATTAGATAAGGGTATGCATAAGAAAGGTTTCTGAAGGCATACAATAGATGGGTTATAAAGGAAAGGATATTGTGGTGCAGGTCTGTGGGCGGCGGAAACAGCGAATTTCCAATGAAGTGGATAGTTATACTTTCGTTGATTTAGTGATGTAGACTGTGTACGTGTGGAAGGAATTTTGAAGGGGAGCAGCTAGCGGTGGGATAAAGGACTGAGAGGTTGATGAGATGAAGAGGTTTGGGAGTTGTGTTCTCTCAGGAGTGGGTATTAAGGAGATGGAGGGTCTGATAAGTGGGAACTTTTGGACATAATGGATTCCGGGGTGTATCCAGGAGGGAGTGGAAGGGATAGAGGGGATGGTGGGAGAGTTAATGTGGAAGCGGGGTTGGGGTCAGGGGGATGGCTGTGTTGGGGGGGTAGGAGGGTAGGGTGTAGGGGGGATATCGTTAGGATAGGATGGAATATCAGCAATTACTTGGAGTGTGGAAGGAGCAGGAGTTGTAGGTTGAGTGTCGTTTTC